TTAGAGTGGCTTTCCCCTAGGTCTATGAACCTTTCAAATTCTCTCCCACGTATGTTCTACTTCCCAACGATGGTGACATTTTCGGCATGCGCTATCTCGAGCTTCCATAACTTGGCTTCTGAAGTTTTAGGGTGAGTAGTTTTAACCCTATTTATCTTGTTGATTTGGCAAGATTATGTAAAGGACGTTTTAACAAGTAGAATCCATAAACGTCACATATTTTGTGCATGCCTGAAATAATATTATTGATTAGATCATTTTCAACTGAAAAACGTACGTGGTCCTGTTGAATTCAAGCCAATTTCGTATGAATTAGCATGGCCAGGCACGGCAGAGATGAAGGTAATGCCCTATAATTCTGACCTGAAAGTGGCATAGAGACCGACAATGTCAAAGAAAATATTAGCATGGAAAAGAGATAAAAGCAAAAGTTCAACTTATGGAAGAAAAATGTGAAGCGAGAGGACAGTTTAAAAATGCTAAAGGAAAGAAAGAAATGGAAAAAAGTAAATAACTAAAATGGGGGAAAGAGCAATGGAGAATACTGGAAGAAAATAAAAAGGCAATAACTAAGAAACATTGAAACACCAAAACGTATGGGATGAAAAGAAAAGTTACGAAATAAGATCCGTGCTGGATTTAATGGCAATGAAGAGATGTTCGTTGATGACTAGATGAGTATGATGCTTTTGAGATGAATGAGAACGTTGAGTGAATACATTTCTTTAAAGCTAATTTGCCGATGTGAGTGGGCATAAAAAGAAAATGAGAGCCTGGAAATAGTCTAGGACAGGTCAGTGTTTCAACTTGCACCAAACGTTACGAATGCTGAAACTGGCATCAAAGAAGAGATGCAGATGCCTTAAATGATATGAATTCATTCCGATTTTGCGTCGCACCATCGATTCTTTGGTCGACAGTGAATCAGACAGGCAAGCAGTTTCGTCTCTTCCTGTTGATGGTTTATATCCTGGGCAATGTATACCAGACAAGAAAAGCAGATTGGTTTTGGGTACATGTGTTTGTGTGAGAAAGAGAAAGAAAGGGAGAGAGAGAGAAAGAGAGAGAGAGAGGGGGGGGGAGAGAGAAAGAGAGAGAAAGAGAGAGAAAGAGATAGGGGAGGGAGAGAGAGAAAGGGGGGAGAGAGAAAGAGGAGTGTGTGGAAGATGGAGCATGGATACACTGTAACACCAGAAGAAACACAACATTATTATCTCGTTACAGCAGAGTCCCACTACGGTGGAAGACCTATGGGATAACGGAAGAATGCGGTTTTTTTGCAAAAAATGAATGGCAAAGTGTTGGACGGCAGATCATAACCTCAACATATTTTAGATGACTGTCTTACTTTTCATTTCAACTGCTTCAACAAGGAATGCTTTGGTCTCAATTAATGCACCGAGATCTATGTTGTTGACATATGAGTATTTCAATGGGAACGGTAGCTTGGGGCAGAAGATATTCGGAGACGTCTCCAGCGAGCACCCAGGAACCATTCGGAGACACACTCCCGCACACAGATGCACTATTTTGGGGGTCAAACTGAGTGTCGTTTGCTGCAGATCACTCATGTAGCCACTAAAACTGTCGCAAATCAATTATTTTCAAGAAAATTTCATATATGACTGTATAATATCAAATTATGGGTTAAAACAGCCCCCTCCCCCCCGCCCCCGGTTTCCACCCAGATTTTTTAACTTGGTCTAGCGGCACAAAGCATTTTGATTGGTCTGTCTCCGTCGGAGACGTCTCCGAATAGATACTGCGGTAACGTGGAGTTAGGAATCATTGTAAATATTGTAAAGTAAGACGTGTTTACTGGTCAGCCGCCAAAGATTAGACTGTCGATCTACAACTGCTAAGGCCTGCAATATGTTGCACTGCATTTAGTACTCGTTGATCTACATACATTACACACACACACACACACACACACACACACACACACACACTTACACACGCTTACACACACACACACACACACACACACACACACACACACTCACACACACAAACACACACATACACACGAACACACACACACGCACACACGCGAACACACACACACACACACACACACACGCACGCACGCACGCACACAAACACAAACACACACACACACGTATAATTTCTAGCGTAATTAATCCAGAAAATAATTCAAATCCGATTATTAAAACAAAAATGTATATATATATATATATAAATGAGAAATAAGAACTGTCCCGATAATCCCAAGTCATCATTATCCCAATTGTTGTCAACGGATCCCAAGGTATATCCTATTATTTTCCCTTCACGTTTGTTGTGTTTTGAGTTCTAAATAATATGATCATTTAGGGAAAGAACGTATTTGTTTTATATACATCTATGCTATCTACTCCCTGTATTTCTTTGTGTGTTTGTTTTTGGCGATAATAATAATAATAATAATAATAATAATAATAATAATGATGATGATGATGATGATGATAATAATACTAATAATAATAATACTAATAATAATAATAATAATAATAATAATAGTAGTAGCAATAATGATGATGATGATGATGATAATAATGATAATAATAATAATAATAATAATATTATAATAATAATAACAATAATAATAATAATAATAATAATAACAAATAGCATTTGAATAGCGCATGTCCCCACTCGAAAGCAAGCTCTATGCGGTTTACACTATATTAACATTTAACGATAACACTCCAACAAGTAAGCAGCCGCTTCACGGGGAATACTGCAGCTCTGCCGTACCGAACCGGCCTCGGCCAGGGAATTGCACCTATCCGTACGTCGTGTTATACTATCGTATTCATACGACGTGGGGAACTCTGTGCCACCACTTAACCCTATCCATACGCCGTGTTTTACTATCGTATCCATATAACGTGGGGAACTCTGTGCCACCATTTTCCAAAGACAAAATCTGCTCGTTAATCCGATCCGCACGCTTTGCATAGCAGTCTTTTTTTTTTGTTGGTAAGTATTATACGGCGCTTGCAACTGCATACGGTCATATGAGCGCGCAGAACACATTAAACTTTTTCCAGTGCATAGCAGTCAGTCAAAATGATTTTTTTTTTTTGGAGAAATACTGAAAGTTTCAAAGAAATCTTTGTACTAAAAGTATTTTGAAATGTGAAGAATACAACCCCGGGGGTACAAAATGACCACAGGGCGTACGGATAGGGTTAAGATTAGAGTAAATATTGGCATCTCTTTGTATCTAAGTGTAGAGGTTCTTCCTCTGCCATTCGAGGGACCTAGCATGGCCACACCGTAGCTATTTTGAACGATCGGAACGAAAATAAGATATTATGTAACCATTGTCTTACAACCGAAGGAAATTCGCTCGTGGCTGCGGTTGACATTTCTTTTATATTATAATATTTCATATCAAACAACTAAAACACTGAGCTTCAATGTACACGAGTTGCAACATTTCTTCTTGGCAAGAGCTTTCAGGAAAACACCCCTGCGCCTCTGTATGAATGGCTTAATTGCTTACCACCCCCCCCCCCCTTGTAAAAAATGCAGCCAAACTTAAACAACTATGATCAAATAATAATCACGCTGGAACTACTTTACGGGGAATGTGAACAACCTTTAATTCATGTTACAAGACAAACAATTCTGATAACCGGTGTTCTCTTTATAAGAACTTGTGGTTTATTGATCAGCCGTCAAACTTCTTCACTGGTGAAACATTATTCCTCCCACGGGGAAACCTGGCAGACAGTGAGTGGGTGATATGATAAGCCTTAGCTTGTTTTATTTAAGCCTCCCCCCGAACCCACGCTGCCTCCAGCTAACCTTATACGGTTGCACCCATATTAGGGTATTATGAAAATTTTTTAATATACGCAGGAATGTGCCTACATAAAAAAATTCGATAGCAGCAAGGCTAGAGGGGGGAGGGGGGCGAGAAAAACCTGGATAGATGGAATCAGGGAAACACTAACCACCCACGGCATCCTCCTGACCCAAGCTCTCCGGTTGGTGCCAGAGAGACGCCTCTTTCTTCCCGCGACACCCAAAAGAGTATAAGCGGCGGATAAAAGTAAAAATAAATGAAGGATATACGACGAGCGAGGTCAGGAATTGGAATTAAATAAGTTGGAAAAGACATGACTGTCGATGTGAAACTTTCTCCACACAAGCGCAGGGGGTGTAAGTTTGTTTCCTATTACTTGCTTTTGGAGCATGGTCGGGAGAAAAATGAGAACTTGAAAATTCCACAGAGTAACACCAGCCTTTCAATTGACCTATTTGGGATTTAACTGTTTCACGGCCTCCTCGGCACAACTTGGGTCATTACCGTGTGGTGACGCCCCTTCGACTCTGTTCCACTGGGTGGATAAAACAGATGGAGGTACTCGATAAAATGACGTCCTCACATGGGATATCAAACTCACATCATCCCCGGGGCGGTACCACTGACTGAAGTGTCTTTAGGCCATTCCCAAAGAGGGGGACATTAACATGTCGAGTTCCTATGCGCCGTAGAATTATTGTAATTGTAAAATGGGCTGATTCATCAATGTCACGCTTATTACTGTGACTGACCTGCTACAGGGACCTGCTGCTTTTTCTTTCCTAATCGTTACTGTTGTCATTTTTTCCTTTACTTATGTTGTATGTCTGTCACACTGTTGTGACACGCTATTTCTGGGGTGCCTTGATAGTTGAAGCAGACTTTGAGCAGTTGAAGATAGAGAGGTGAGCAGAGTAAGTCTGATTCCCTGTAAGGACTTCTCTGTTGACATCCACCCCTTGGCGCTCATAATATGACCTTCTGCAGTTGCGAGCGCCGTAAAACCTCTACTAACAGAAAAAACCTCACGTATTTTATGTGAAACATGAAAGCGCCTACCCATTGCACCATAGATGCTGAGGACCTCGTTGAGTATAATGAAGCTTGTAGACGCTTTAAAGAAACAACAAAAAATAAATGATCCCTTCCCAAACATTAATGCTTCTCTTTCTATCCCCAGATTTGTCGAGCATCTCAGTCCAGGGTAAAGCTCCTCAACGGCCGTGATCCCCGCAGCACACTTCCTGTCATTGACCCCAGCAGTCTGCGCATGACTGTAATGCTACTGTCCGTGTCTTTCACCTTCCTGCTGACCACTCTCCCCATGAACGTGTCCAGCATTCTGGCCAGTGCTTACATCAATCGCGCCGGCAGCTCGGACCAGACAAAAGCGAAGGGCATCCTTTTCGGAACCCTCGCCACCCTCCTCATGTACTTAAACCACTCTGTCAACTTCCTGCTGTACTGCGCGACAGGCAGGAAATTCCGAGACGTGGTGCGACGTCTGGCGTGCTCGATCTTTCGTCGGAGGGACGCGACGCCTGCTTTAGACCACAGCAATCATCTGTTCTGCTCGCGAAAGGGCGGGGCGAGGTACAATGACGTTCAGAGGTCATCAAACAGCCAGGAGAGCCAGGTATGACTAGCACGACGCGTTGAGCTTGTGACGTTTTGTGCTGGACTGCTGCAGGACCACGCCCTAGCTTATTCCCAACTGTTGGAGAGCCAGGTGTAAGGCTAATCCAGGCATCGTCTTAAGGCTGGCCTACGTAGTCCCTTCTGGACAAGCCTTCAGCCTCGACCTCTGTAGGCCAAATTATGTCCATCTACAATGGTGGAGAAAGAGGCCGGCTGGCAGGATGGCAATAGGGAAAAACAAGCCTTCTTAGACGCAAAAGACTTTTGGCGCTCAGTGCAGAAGAAACGCTTAAGTTACTTGTGTGATGTCATTTGACAGTAAGCGAATACTGTGTTTCTGCATCGCTCTACGATATTGTCATATTTGACTGGGATTACACGGGCTCAACAGGCGCCAATATAAGGATGTAATAATGGTTTGTTGTGGCGGAATTCGGAGCACATAAGTAAAGAGATGAGAAGAGTGGGTCAGTGAATGGATATCGGTTAAGAGACGCGGTGGAGTGAATTGTGATGAGTGCCTTGAGACTATTGACGGGAGATCAATGAATTGTGAGGCAGCGTGGTGGAATCAGGCTCTCTTCAAAATAATCAACGTGAAGAAACTTGCATTTTTCAGCAGGTTTGTTGGCTCAACATCGTTCACGCTCACTAAAGAACTCACTTCTGCGTGGATATTTCTGAAAAATGTTGATTAAAGGTACAACAAAATATTTTTTCAGTTACCACGGACTCTTAAGCTAGAGAAATAACTAACCTTTGGCGGTCATTTTCTCACTAATTTTACCTCTGAAAACAGGTGACCCCCACCTCCTTCATTCGCAAATATCTCGACTTGTATTTAAGATAAATGGGTAAATTGTCTCATCCAAATAAAGATAGGTGAACAAGCTTTAAGATGATACCAATAACTCTACATGCCCAAAAATTGACGAGAGCCTGATTCCACCACGCTGCCTCACAATTGTATTTTGCACGAACGTTCTATAAGTGCCACATAAAAAATGGATTTTTTTTTTCCAAATCAAGTTTTTGTTTGGGAAAATCGAGAATAGGCCCCAGAACTTGATGCTTTCTTTCCTTCGAGCTCGGGCACACGGGACCAGTTTGAGATTTGAAATGAGGCTTTCTGCGTCATTTATTTTGTGTTGGTGTTTTGTAGAGTTAGTTTTCTTATTGTTAGTAAATTTGGTTGTTTATTTTTGTGAGTGGTTCTATGAAATAATAACTGTTTCTGTCTGCTCTTAGGTGAGCCACCTCTTCTTATTTTAACTGCTCATCGACTCTGATATGTAGTAAAACAAGAATGGCACTATATTTGAGTTTATATTACTTTTGGGTTTTTTTTCTTTTCTTTTGTTTGCTTTGGGGGGGTTTTCTGAGAGAAAAAGTATTTACAATTTGATTTCCCTTATTGGTGCGTTTACCTTTCGGCATTGACCTCAAAAGACCAGTCTCAGTGTATATCTGGTGAAACACACGATTGGCGCTTATATGACCTTATGCAGTTGTGAGCGCTGTAAAACTCTCTACTATAAAAAAAAACCCAAAAAAAAGAACCTTTTCAATCAGTGATAGGACGAAGTAAATATAATCAGCGTATGGGGTTGACTTGAAAGACAGCATCATTTTTTAAAACTGGTTTCGAGCATGATTAAATGTACTTACCTGTTTTATATAATGGGGTGGGGAGTGGGGTGAATGCCCTCCGTCATTGTTATTTTACTGAACGTTGGGGGATTAATGAACTCTAAGGGTACTATAATATTTAACACACGACGACAAATGACAGAAGGCAAAAATGAGAAAACTAAAGTGTATACAACATGGTACTCTCCAAACTGGTGAGAAAATATATTTATCTACTTCACTGAGTAAAGATGAGTTTAATGTGTTAATACATGACGACCCGACGAAGGGTGAAAGCCCATGCTTTCTGAGCCATAACGTTAATTAAACAAAAAACATTGAAGTTTACGTGTCAAAACCCACAAGACTCTCCTTTAAAGTTGTCCGGGCTGTTGTCTTCAACTTTTGAGTTTCATCCTTTCAAATTGATGTCAAAGACACTGTGACTTGTTTTCAATGAACAATGTGGGTTTTGCTAAATTAATTCCTCGGTGTAGGGTAAGTTGTTCCATTTTGTATGTCTTCCAACAAAAGCGATGTGGAAAACAATGCACAAGGGGGATATCCAAAAAAATGCGGTTTTGAGAACATCGAAGGTAAAATTTTGGACCTTTGTTCAGTTTCTTTTAAAGACAAGGAGAGTTTTCTCAATAACTGAACAAATATACACCCCAATGAAACCAAATTTCTCTTATAGGTAGGGCATTATCCACTTTTGGTGTAGGTCAATATTTCTAGAAACCCCCGAAATCTGGGTTAGCCCGCTTGTCCTTACAAGCGACCAATCATCATCAAGCGCCAGGCCTTTGACAGGCATCGGTGTTCATGGTTCTCCTTTCATGCCTTTGCTCGGATGGTCTAAAAAACAAACTACCTTATCCTGAACTTTCCCTGTCTCCCATCTGGTTAGGCTCTCCAAGAAGGTTCCTCTGGGTCTACTCCTGTCTTTTTGCCTTCAGTTTTACCAAGGAGAGTAATAAGGGGTCAATTTTTGGACAAGACGAAATTGAAACTCCCTACCCTGTACTAGATGTATATAAAGTAAAGTGCGTGGCTTTGCTTAATTTTCAGAAACAAAATGACTTGCAGCCCTATGGTTCTCATCTGAAAAGAATTTGCTCAATTTGAGAAGGCAGGGAAGTAAGGGAAGGGGGTGACATACTTTACTTGTGTTTTTGTTTAATTGATCAAATGTGGTGCCTGACTATGCGCTTAGCTAGCTAGACCTTGCCCTGGTATTCTTCAGAACTATACTGACCTTGCGATACAAATCTCTTACAAAGAGAGTTGTCTTACAGATCTGTGGGTATTGTATTGTTTAACATCCGTATCAAAACAAGAAGCTTATCTCTTTAGTTTTAGTAAGAGTTGCAACACAATAAGGTCATATAAGTGCTGAAGATTAGAGGTGCTACAAGAGAGTAACAAACACGCAAAAGAAGGATGGGAGTTAAAGTGGATAGATGTTTGATAGGAAAGAAGAAGAAGCAAACGACACCAGAGCACCCGCCAACGACCCACCAAGCTTATCTCTGTGCGATTCATCTGATTTGTTTTTCGCCCGTCTCTGGTAGCCTTAAGCGGAGACAGGGGGGAGTCACTAAAACTTTCAAACAGTCCTTTTGTTAGAATAATACTCTTGTACAGACTTCAACATAAGTTAAGGACCGCTTGCAAACACTCTGAGTGGTCTTCTTGGCTTGGTGACCGTGTGACACTGCAAGCCTTCTAGTAACTTCTCCAGCTCCCAACTCCATCCAGCAGCCATGCCATAGCTTTGGCACCATCAAAGCCTCTCAGCTTTTGTCTTGGTGGCACGTTGATGCAATACTGGATTTTGCGTTAATGGCGGCTTATATTGCCACCAAAGTGAGATTAGTTCGAGGCCGTACGTCAGTTTATGACGTCCACCATAAATTTTAACTGAGGAATGTCCGTAGTGTCGCGCAAAAGTCGATAAAAAAACGGCAAATTTGGCTAAAATTCCCGGAGAATTTCTGTGCAGCACGTGATGGTTTTGCCTCTTTGGGAAGCATTGCAGTACGCATTGGTAACCCATCAACACTTTCAGAGCAAACAATTTTGAAACGTTTATTGCTGTCTTTTTTCTTATTTAACCAGGACTGTCTGTCAAGGTGCTCCTTAACTTATGTTGAAGTCTGTAGGATCGAATTAAAAGCATGTTCATTTTGAACCTGGTCCCCCTTAATGACAAACGATACAGCATGTTGCTCTAAAAGATTTCTAAAGGTGAGCCCCTCACTTGAAACATAATAATGTCCTTTCAAAGATGGCTAATAATTCAGAGGTATGGTCTAATAAGTAACCTTCTTGGTTGAAAAAGGCACGAACCTATTTATGTATCATCGTTAAGTTGTTTGGAGCCTAAACTATAAGAATAAATACTGGGTCAGGGTCATTAAGTTTGATCAGCTGGGTTTTTTTGTACACATAAACACACACACACACACACACACACACACACACACACACACACACACACACACTCACACACACACACACACACACACACACACTCACACACACACACACACACACACACACACTCACACACACACACTCACACACATATATACAGAGAGAGGGAGGGGGAGAAAGAGAGAGAGAGAGACAGAGAGAGACAGAGAGAAAGAGAGAGGGAGAAAGACAGACAGAGAGAGAGACAGAGAGAGACAGAGAGAAAGAGAGAGGGAAAAAGACAGACAGAGAGAGGCAGAGAGAGAAAGACAGACAGACAGACAGACAGACAGACAAACAGACAAACAGACAGACAAACAAACAGACAGACAAACAGACAGACAGACAAACAGACAGACAGACAAACAGACAGACAGACAGACTGAGATAGACAGACAGACAGAGACAGTAACAGAGACTGATAAACAGACAGACGAAGAAAGAAACAGACTCACGTACGACACACAAGCGCGCACAAGCTCAGTAATTCATTCAGACGCCCTGAGATTCTATCCAAAAGGGGATATGTGTCACGACGCGGCGGAATCAGGCGCTCGTCAATTTTTGGGCATGTGGTGTTTTTGGTATTATCTTATCTGAAAGCTGCTTTATTTGCCTTACATTCAATGAAATAAATATCCATCTATCTTGAAAAGAACTTAAGATATTTTGTGATTGAAGTAAGTGAGGTCGCCTGGATTCAGTGGTGAAATTAGCAAGAAAATTGCGCCAAAGTTTGGTAACTCATATAGCTAAAAAGTCCTGGAAAACAAAAAATAACGTATTATTATGTTTTGCTTTTGATCAACGTTTTTCAGTAAAATCCACATTGAATTGTGATTGTAATTGGACATAAAAGAGGTTGATCTAAAAAAGGGAAAAAAATCGATAGAAGTTTCCAAAGTGGGGGAAAATGCCCGTTTCTCCCATAGTTTCTGTATTTTGACGAACGCCTGATTTCACCACGCTGTCTCACATATTTCAAAGACACACCCATAACCGGTTCTTATAGAAACGCCTTCAGCAATACAACAAACTTGTTTTGAGTAAATGAGGTGACGGGGCTCCTGTAAAGAACATTTATTTTCTGTATCGTCCATGTTATTCTCTTTTTTTTGGGGGGGGGGGGGGGCGGTTAACGGCGGGCGCTCGCAACTTCATATGAGCGCCATAAGATTAGAGATTAATAAACATAAAAAGGAGGGGAGATAAGGACGATAGATGTTTGATAGGAAAGAAGCCGAAAATCACACCAGAGCACCCGCCAACCACCCACGTGTTTTTCTCTAAACGTGTAAGTCCGTCCAAAGGTTTTTTTTTCGAACAGACAAGAATCTCTTTTATGGTTGATTATGATGCCATTTATTTTTAACTTGAGATCACAATAAATAAACTTCTTATGCTCTTGGTCACGATTCGTGATCTTCATAATATACGATACATAATGGTGGATTTCTTTCTATGGCACGAGTAAATATAGCAATAAAATATAATAAAAGAAATGAACAGAACCGAGCCTTACACGTTTAGTGAAAAAGACCGACGATATCATTATACAGCTGCTTGGGGGGGGGGGGGGGGGGTACCAAACTTAAACATCACCCTGTTTATGGTCCCCAAACGCCTTTGAGCT